GGGATATCATCAATTATTCATTAACAATTACTTGTAAAGATCACTAGATCCGGGCCGCTGGGAAGAAATAACAGGTTGCGATCTGAGTAGGTACTGGTAGGTACTTACTGTAACAACTTATATTAAGGGTGCGGGAATCATAAAAGGATTATATCGAAATGGTTCCAGTTAGTTTCAGCTATGATTAAATAGAAAAACGCATCGATTAATCTATCTATTCTTATTATTTAAACATGTAAAGCCATAATAACAGTGACATAACCTAAAATTTGGCTTCTGGGGTCGGCACTCGCCATCCACCGCGCGGTTCTACGAGTTGTTTTCAAATGCAAACGATTTGTGAAGAATTGACGGACACGACTTTTTTCGATTAAATTCTCCTTTCGGCGCCCATATAAGTCCGCAAACTTTTCAAAGGTTTGATCCTTGGAGTTTAAAGATTCTAATTATCCCCAGCTTGATGGGTTTTATGCTACCCTTACCTCCACAGCCATGGCAACAGATCCGACTTTCAGAACGGCAATAAACGACTTAATTATTAATTGTTCTCGATTATACCTCAACGATATCAAATTTCCAAAAAATCATTTTTAGTATATGTGACGCTGATTCAAAATATCTATACTTGTATGGGGTTTTTGTCTACGGTATAGCTGTAATGTGAGTGAACTAAACACGATGGTCTCTCCCGCGACCGAACGTTTCGCGGGCCCCGCATCTGCTCAACAATTCCATCATTGTCATCTTTTGGGGTCCATGTCGTTAAAATTTAATGTCATGTTTTGGGGTCCAAAATTTGTCGTTAAAGCTAAATAACTTTTTTAATATTTAACTAAAATTAATAAACGAGGGCATTACGAGTAGAGCTGAGCATACTCTACCCAAATATTATAGGGTTTTCGGGCTTTACTTTACGACTTAATTAGCAGGAGAGCTAAATGGACCGCAAACCGTGCAGAAAAGCCCGATCGAGTTTCTTCGTGTATAACTAGTTAGGCAGCAGCCACCCGTCAGTTTTTTTTTTTTTTTTTTTTTTTTTTTTTTTTTTTTTTTTTTTTGGGTCATCAAATTTTTAGGGGAGTTTTTTAGGATTGGACCGGGGTGGCTACCGCCACCTAGAATAAAGAAATCCGAACTCTTGTGGAATAGTGGCGATTAGTTTTTCTTTAAACGAATAAAATGTAATGAGAAATCTGTATCGTCACAAACCAAGAATTTGAATTTCGTGGTTTTATCTGTGGATGATTATGATGATTCAAATAGCACAAGTAGAAAAAAAGTATGAATTCCCGCACTAAAATCCCTAAAATGATGTAGGTAACCTTGTTATTAGGGCACAAAATTACGGCACATTTTGTTCATACCTATTACATTCCTCTGAAAATCGACCTTTCTAGCTCATTAATTTGACGAGAACTATAAAGACCATCAAATTACTTACCCATTATACACTCTTGAATTCATCTCTAAGAGGTATGAAATAAACGTTAATGCAAATTTACTGATAGCAGACTGTGAGGAAGACAGATGATGGGAGCATAGGTAAGATGAGGAAAAAGTAAATGTCTCGAGTCAAATAGATTGATATTTCCTATTCGCATTATTTTATATCATTTTAAACAAAATAAACAAGTGAAAAAAAACACAGATTAAAAAATTAATGAACACTTGTTTACAAACTGAAAACAGCAGTTAAAACATTTAAACTTTTGGACTCTTGGGAGCGCAAGGAACTTTACGCCCTCTTCTGGCAGTAAAGGCCGCTTTAAACTTACAATTCTTCTAAATTATAGAAAAGATGAACGTGAAAAATTCGAAATTTCAATTTTCGACCCATCCCTATTAAAATCGCTTCTCGGAAAATGTTGCCTATTCGTGGATGAGAGTACCTTGTCTCTCAAACGGTCATAGACAGAGCGTCTAGTACCCCAAGTAACATTTTTCAACGTAAAAATTGATATAATGTATCAATTTATAGGTATAAAGTTGTAAAAAATATTGCAATAATATAGCTATAAAGTAGCAATTCTCAGTCAACATTTGGACGATTTTTCCCGATTTCGTCAGGTCAGATCGATAAATAAAATCTATACTTAATAGCAATATCACTGCTATTTGTGGCGGTGCCAAATGGTTTTAGGAAAATTGAGGAATTTACCAGTCTACCCTAATTTTTACAACGTTGCAGAATCCATTCGAAAATCCGATCTTGCCGGAATTGACAGGAAATTCATGATTCAATCATCCAGCACCCTTTAAATTCTTCTGTCCGAGGCGGGATTAGAACGCGCATCCTTCAGATTACTGCCGTGCGCCGCCTCTACCGTTTGAGCTAGCCAGGCTACCTGTCGGGTGCCTCACTTTTCACACATTATATAGCTCCGACATGAAACGAAACCCTTACCGGCGCATTTGCATGAAATAAAAAATTCAAAGAATTAAAAGTAACAAAAACAGAAACGGAATAAAAGGAGGAAAGAAAGGCATGAAAGAAGTAAAATTAAATTTCCCAGAACTTGGTTAAAAGCATAGACGATATTTATTTTGATTGACTGGAAATTCAAACCTTTTAAAAAAGCATTGAAATTTTTAAAGTTTCAGATTTATCGAGTTTGAGCTATTTCGAGAAGACTAAATTGAGGAAAAACGGTTGTTTCATCAGATTGTTGCGATACATTCCTGCATTCATGCTAGAGATTTGAAAACAAGTTACGGAAAGGAACACGCGGGAGTTTTTCATCATACTTAATAGCAAGATTATTGCGATAATTTTTGCGCCTTGCAATTAGCAGATAGGCAACAGGTGACACAACCAATAATCGGAATTTATTGCTGCATCATAGCAACAATATAGCAATAATTTCCGCGCCTTCAAATGAGGGAGTAGGCAATACGCATGGCAAATATAATATAGCAACATTCCTACGATTTTATGTCCATCTTTAGGTATCCTTGCTACTTGGGACAGTCAAACAGCCAGAATGCTGGAACTTGGACGTGTCCTGTCGGGTCAAAGTAAACATTTTAACATCTATTACTTGTTTTTCTTTTCTATTCAAAACTTTCCCTGATTGAAACTACAGTCCTCCACATTTTTGGGGAAATCGTGTTTTTTTTTTTTTTTTTTTTTTTTTTTTTTTTTTTTTTTTTTTTTTTTTTTTTTTTTTTTTTNTTTTTTTTTTTTTTTTTTTTTGTGTGAACCGGCGGCGGTTATAGACTGTAACTCATGAAAAGCGGCTACTCCTTACACATTTTAGAACTGAATTTATCCTTGGCCTCTAAAATAACAAAATTCTAAAGTGAAGGGGGATTTTAGACTTTTTCAAGCATAGGAAAACTGAGTTTTTCTTGCGCCAAACTAATGTACCCCCCCCCCCCCCNGCCATGTAGCCAGACCCCCTGAAATTCTCATGGAATTGAATACTTTGATATTTTTGAAGCGACAGATGAATTTCGTGCCAAAACTTATGGAGAGGTATGAGTTTTTGTTCATGACAAACATCTCAAAGAGGTTGTGTGAAAAAACGGTCATAAACGCCCGAACGCATTATCCAATTTTGAAATGCTTGACGTGAAAAAGTAGCTCCCGAGACTCCTAAAACTGGTTGCGGTCCTGCTAGAGACGCCGTGTTGGGAGGTCGCCATTTTTGAAAGTAAGAACCTTTAAAAATTCATGACTACTCTGCAATTCTGCATCTCAACCGATTTCAATAAGGTTCATGTGAACCGTCAAAACCGCGTAGGTGCCGCCCTGTGCTGAGTAGACCCATTGACCTATAGGTACAACCTATACAAACTGGTTGCGGTCCTGCTAGAGACGCCGTGTTGGGAGGTCGCCATTTTTGAAAGTAAGAACCTTTAAAAATTCATGACTACTCTGCAATTCTGCATCTCAACCGATTTCAATAAGGTTCATGTGAACCGTCAAAACCGCGTAGGTGCCGCCCTGTGCTGAGTAGACCCATTGACCTATACACCACTGGAAAGCTCTGTTTAAGAGTAAAATTTTAGAATGAAGTTCATCGGGAATTCGGGTAAAACGCAGCGGAGTTATGATGAATTATTGAATATTTTCACTATTTAAATAATGGCAACGGTGCGACCCGGAAGCCTGCGCTTGAAAGTCTGTCTAATTCAGATGTCTGACTATTCCTTGTGATAGTTGGATCATAACAGACCTCTTCTGCACGATTAATTGAATGCTGCATGTGCAGTCCTGTTGCTGTCGCATCTCGGTAACTAGACGTTTCCCCGGGACGATCCTGTGCTCGTTATAAAGGTGAAAGGCTGAATTTTTTTTTCGACTGGTTTTTCTTCAGATTCCGTTGATTCAACAGCTGTAGTAAAATGAAAACCTTTACCTAATGTGTTCACCAAAACCTGCTGAAACCACGTGAGTGCAGCTCATTGCCAAATAAACCAAATATCTACACACCGTTAGAAAGCTCTATTTAGGAGGAACATTTAAAAAAAAAAAACTCATTGACATCGGTTGAGAGGCAGAGAAAGTGTGAATTTTCAAAGGTTTCCACTATAAAAAATGGCAGCGACGCAACATGGCATCTCTAAGCAGAACCGCGACCAGTTTAAGGCGTCTCGGAAGCTACTTTATCGCATCAAGCGTTCAAAATTCGGAAATGCGTTTGGGCGTTTCTGGCCGTTTTTGCACACACCTCTTTTTACGAGAAAGCATGATTTTCCAAAAAAGGTGTGAAGAAAGGCCGTATGCTAGTACCGACTGAGAGTACTTTTGAAACCCATAGACCACGCTCCTGAAGTCTGATCGTTAAAGTCTGGGGAAGTCCGCATAATCAGATTCATGTGACGTAGTGGCTGAACCAAAAATTTCTCGCAATGCCACTCAGCAAGGCCATTGCAAGTCATTCGAACTTGAACTTGGAGCCAGCCAGCAGAATAGCGGGAAAAAAGAAGAAAAAACAAAAGAGCAAAAATTTACCCACACATTTTCTACGTCCGACGTTCAACGGCGTCTCGCACCTTCAGTAACTTCTCGACCTTAGGAGAAATCAGCGAATCGGGCTCCAGTGGTCCTCCGTCATCAGTTACGATAGAGACGCCGGCTTGTTGTTTTGACCAATTGCGCCACGCATTGTCGCCTGACCATACGGGTCGTCATAGTTTCCGCGCTTCCTGTAATTTGTTTATACCGAAGCAAGGTAATTTCTATCCCTCTCCAAGCGATCTTACTTCGTAATTTATTATAATTAAAATTTTCCTTTTGATGTCCAATTTTTTTTTTTTTTTTTTTTAAATTGCAATCTTATTTCTAGGTACCTGTAGAGTACCTACTTAGTTTGAATTGTCCGCTGCGATTGGGACCGGCAGTGTCTCAGTGATCAAACCCCGCAGAAGATATACTGAATTGATTTGATTATTTATTTATCTATTTCTTTATTTATTTATTTATTCTGTTCAATGTGCGATTCAAAAACTTCCAATTTCAGTTGCGACGTTTTAGCTGTTTCTTTAGATAAATTCTTTTGTAGAAACAGAACCGACAAAAATAGGTACTCATTGAAGTGTCTCTCAATGTTTTCGTAAAGAAGAGAATATTGATTTGTGAAACGACACCTCACCCATAAAAAACATTTCGAAAAAACCCAGCATTTCTGACAAAAATACTATTGTAACTATTAAACCCTAGGGTTTAATAGTTACAATAACATTACCAACTCGCTTTTACGGGTCGCTTTTACCAACTCGCTTTTACGGGCACAAATTTTCAATTTCCACAAAAATTGTTTTGCGTATATTTAGCCAGTGTCTTCTTACTCTTAGTTAAAACATGAATAAAAAGAGGCATCATTGTACTTCCGGTGACTCGGCTATTTTAGCCCTAACATACTTTTAATGCGACTTCATATTCCAGGAGCTCGACAGAATTTTTTCTTTTTTTGGCTTACATTACCCAGTAAACACTGTTCTTCAAGAATCTGATTTAAGGTTTTGCTCGCGGCAGATCAAAAAATTTAAACTCTTTTGAATGGCTTTCTACGTTCACAATATAGGTACAGTCTCGTCGAGGTGCGTGGTTGACCCAGTAGCGTTGATTGTGCATTTTTTTCATGTGCTGCTTACTTATATTAAAATCTCCGCAATGAAAACTAATCAGGTTGATCTGTGGACCGAGTTCATCAGAAAGGAACCAACCCACATTTTCGAAAACATTGAGTTAAGAATATTTTAGAGTTCCACTACTAGTCGTACATACTCCCCTGCCAAAAACTCGAAGTCGAGAAGTAAAATATTAGTGTGTGTTAAGAGGGGTGAAAGTTCGTACTCTGCGTTGAGCTTTATGAAAAATTTCGAACCTCTTTTCTTCAGTTTCAACTTTATGTGGATTGGTTCCTTTTTGTGAAACTCGGCCCACATATGAGCCAATGAATTTCCTTATCAACACATCGTGTTTACCGCTTGTCTTTATTTCTTTGGGGTTCCCACCCAACGCAAAGAAGCAACCTCTAGCAAAGTACTCCTGCAAGGTGTAGAGTTTCAACTCAATGGCTCACTTTACAAAAAATGTATTGGAGGTGATGCGTGACTTTTGGGTGACACTATATAATGGACGTTCGAAAACTGTAAATCACTTTCCCCATCCTAAACATTGGTTTTTTTACAGTAACTCACTTATTTAGCACTACCAACCGTTTTTACATGGTAGAATTCACGTTATTTCCGCCCCTAAGCCTTCAAGATTTTGTCACCCCAACGTCCTGTCGCGCAAGAGGGGAGGGGGGGGGGTTAGGTCACGCCGTTCGTAAATTACTTACTCAACCATGCAGATTTTTGGACTCTTTTATCAACTATTTTGCGGTCCACATTATTATTCATAACTAGGGGGCTAGCCTGATTCTTCTAGATTTAATCACAACGTTGCCCCTTTGGTGGCACAAAGTTCGTGGCAGCGCCCTATCTTCGTTTTTCTTGGTGGCCTATGTTTAAATCCAGCCATGTATTTTTACCAGCCTAAGTCATTTGGAAACGCAAACATTTCAATTGAAACTGGTCCGGGCCTTGGGTGGCTCCGATTGCGAACTAAAGGGGTAGCAATGAATAAATTGTAAATATTCCCAGTGACCCTTTTTTTCCTTTTTTTTCCATAACCACAATAGAGCCTACTAAAGAGGCTTTTTGTGGACCATTTGGCGAAGCTCATTAGTTTAGATGCCAAAATAAGAAAATTACAAACATTCTTAGGAGCCGCCGGACACATGTCCGGCGGCTCGAAAATGTCTCGAGTTATTGCAGGGGTTAAGATAATAATAATAACCCCTGCAATAACTCGAGACATTTTGGTTATAGTAAACTGTTTGGATAATTTACACCAAATATGCCCGGTAAAGTGCAACATAAAAAAGTTTCAACGTTGGTTGGGAGTTAATGTCCGGAATTTCTGTGACAGAAGTGCCTTTAACTTATTATAATTTATTCATTTTTTCAAATTCCCGCATACATAAACTCTTTTTTTCTTTTACACTTTTGGCGCTCTGAAGGGTATCTAATCATTTTCTGAGACTTTTTTTTGGGGGGGGGGAGGAGGGGCAAAGAGGCAGATACATAAATCATAATGCTCCAATTCGTGCTTCCTCAGGTGTTCCATTGTAAACTACCATGCCAATTACAAGAGAACACTGGAAATAAGAGATTTTTTTCTTTTTTTTTATTGCATTTTACTTTAGTTTTAATTCTTACTTTATGCGTTTTAAGAAATACTAGCATGCCAAAATTATGACAAAAATTGAAGCACACGCGTTTGAAAAGTGAGAATGGACATGCATGAGTTGTCTGTTTTCCCTTGTTTTCTCTGGACACCGCGATTTTTTCTGTTCACCGGAATCGTTTAGATGCATATTTCCACCAAAGTTTATGTTTGATGCATTTGTTTCAGGGAAGCCTATTTGACGTTAAAAATCGTCAGACTTCAAGGCCTGCACTATGACGCAGGTGCAAAGAGGCAGCTGGATTCAGGAAAAAATTGATCTCATCAAAAGTGAAATCGTCAGAGGTAAGCCATGAACATTTTGAATTCCGAGACAGTAGATTTATGGTTTATATGTAAACAAGAAAAAACGTAGGGAAAAAAACCTTTTAAAAATGGTGATTCCCGCTCTACCGATTTAGGGTGAACCGGGATACGCAACACTCAATTTATGCAGGGACTACCATTTTTAGCTTCTATACTTTAAGCTCCGAGGCCTCCTTTTGCGTATCTGGTAACGCTTATTATAGTTCCAGCGTTCTACCAGACCGATTTTCATGATTTTTGCGGCTATCGACAAATGCGCCTCTAGATGACCCCGCTTTATTCAAATTTTGAAAATACGACCCGAGTACGAGGTTTTTGTATACTACGTGGTAAAGTTGCGCATTCTCCCATTTAAACAATGTAAATTTATGTTTTTTGTCATAGTTCGTTTGGGCGTTCTACTGGGTCGATTTCCATGATTTTTGCGGTTATCAACAGCTGAAAGTCCCTAGATGAGCCTGCTGTAATCAGAATTTGAAAATAGGACCCAGGTTTTTTAATATTAGAGGAGACCAGAAAGCTCAGAAAGGGGGCAAAATTTGAAATTCCCGCCAATGAAAAATGGCGGGAATTTCAAACTTAGCGGAAAATTTAAGTAAGCAGGAAATGTTGAATGTTGGTCTGTTAGTTAGGTAAGTGAAGCGAAGGTATGCTCCTTTGCTACAGACTATCCAAAAGCGACGAAACGCTCCACTCCGTTTCGGTTCAGTCTTGGCGTGAAGTTTGAAATAAATGCCGATTTTTTCATTCGATTCTTATTGGTCCAATCGCTCCCGGCCAGAGAGATTGGATACAATGAGAGTCATAAATGAATAAAGAGTTTTTTTGGTCGTTCTTTTGTCGACTCGGGCCTACGAGAGCGCGGAACTGGTAACGCTTAATTCCAGCGTTCTACCAGGCCAATTTTTATAATTTTTGCGGTTATCGACGGGCAATTGTCTCTAGATAAGCCCGCTCTACTAAGATTTTCCAAATATGACCCATTTTTTATATTACTCGATAAAGTTGCGCATTTTCCCATTTAAAAAAATCTACATTTATATTTTTGTCATGGTTCGTTTGAGCGTTCTACTGGGCCGATTTCGATGATTTTTGCGGGTATCGACAGGAGATAGGCCCTAGATGAGCCCGCTCTAATCAGATTTTGGAAATAAGGACTCAAGTTTTTTTACAATCACGTTATAAAAGTGAGCGAATTTACAGAATGCTCCGCAGCTGCTGCCGCTATGTGCAAAAGGTTGCGCAGTGGCCGTGGAGCCTTCGCATTTCCTCTATTCTATGAACAGCATAGAGAAAAAAAGGAGGTGTTTGCATCTTGAGGATTGTGTACCCTGTCATGTAGGTTGGTACAACCTGGTCAGTAAAATCCGGAATTCGAAGTATGAAAAACAGACCATAACGTCCGATATGTTTGCTTAAATCAACTCATGATATAAAAAACACTTTATGTGAAATGCATTTTTTCCATAAACTACACCAGTTCCAAGAAAAACGATGATAAAAGTCGCCGTACCGATCTACGTCATCAAAAATATTTCAAGATGCTAGAAATGCAAACACCTCCTTTTTTCTTTATGTATGAAGGTATGCCATCCTAGGTATGCCTCTAGGTATGCCATCCCGTAATCTAGGTCCGAATCCCGACAATGGTATTTATTCATTACGACCCGTAAATCATCTTACGTTGTTTTACTGCAATGATTCATAAATATCAGTCACTGCGAAACGCATCCTTTTGACTTCAAATGTTTTCTTCTTTTTCAGCAAAAACAAACATTATTTTGTTCTTAAAAGGAAAATATATCTCACTAGCCGCTGTGGCTCGCTTCGCTCGCCTCGCGTCTAGCCGGGGGCTCCGCCCCCTGGACCCCCGGTCACTCGCTTCGCGAGTGACTTACGGCTCGCAAGCGAGCCGTATTCCGTGCCGTAAATGCAAAAAGATGATAAAGTAATGTAATCCAATAAGAACTCTTCTGAATACATGAATACGAGAGGCATTCCTTCCTAAATTAGTTTACCTGTTTTCAGTTCCGTAATGATCTTCCTTGTAAATTTTCAAAAGAAAAACGAAATTACGCGAAATTGCCAAGAAGCATTATGGATAGTTTTCCTGTAAGGGATTTTTCTTCGGGGGGGGGGATTAACTTTGAGTTAAATAAGGCGAAGTCCCTCCGGAATATGACAATGTAAGCCCTGCGCACTTGGTATTGGCCAGGAGGAGTAGCTCACTGGCGTCCTCCAGGACTCCAGCCAACACCACGCCAAAGCTACAGACTTAAACAATCATACGTCGGGTGGCGCCAGTAGTAGAGAAGTTTAGGACTTAAGAAAAGAGACAATTTCGAATGTTACATGAAAAAAAGCATCTCATGCATTTGGCCATCATATAAATGGATGTATTTTCAAATGAATTTCGCGCAAAAGTATGAACGAACGGGGTACAAAACGTATTACCTTATAAAAGAAGGATTTTCGGTTACTCGGCACTGACCGGCAAAATACATGTAAATTTGGAGTTACTCCTCCTAGTCGTTAGCTACTCACTCAAGGAACATTCTGCGTAAAAAATTCGAGTGAATTGTTTGAATGTGTAAATTATTAGACTCATTAATTAGTATACGCACTAAAAAGAGACAAACTTCATGCACAGGACGCAACAATCTCGCACATTTGCACCCAGAAAATATGAGTAGAAATTGTGTAGAACGTTTCTGGCGAAAACAGGTGTACAATAGCCTCGCACTGGGTTGGACACTAAAAAACCGAGGATATTCCGTAAAAAAAGAAAGGAAAGAAAGTATGAGTAGAAATTGCTAAATATCCATTCATCGACTGGCGCGGCCGCAAAAGAACGTATCTCGCGAATACAGAGGCAAAATAGTATCACTCAATATCGGACACTCACAAATCGGAACTGTTCCGTGAAAAAAGAAAGAAAAATTGAGCAGATATTGTTAAGTACCCATTGATCAACTAACATAACCGTAAAAGAACGTATCCGACGAAAGCAGATGAGCGATGGGCAACCTCTCAAAAAGTCGCGAGATTTCGAAATCTAATCAGTGTTGCTCTCGAGATGCAGGATGCAGCTAAGTTGGCAGCGTACACGAATAGACTGATTTTCGGAGCAACTCAGAGGAAGCAATTCAAAGGAAGCAATTCAGTCCTGAAAACATTTTGTTTCCTGTTTTTTCCCACGGTTTTCCTTTGCTCTTCGATAAAGGTAGCTGATGTAGGGGTAACGGGAGGGACAAACATAATTCTGCATTGGTAAGGAAGAACGCCGTATGAGTCTTCAGACGTTGCCAAATTTCCCCTGGAAAACCACTAAACTTCAGGAAAATTTTTGAAAATTTTGGATAATTTTGTTTTTAATTTGATCTAAAACGTCTGAAAATTTCTTGGGGAAAATATTCATAATTTTCCTCAAAAATAAACATTTTATCGAAGAAAATTTGGCAACTCCCGAATGTTCATATGTCGTTCTTCCTTAGCAGGGCAGAATTGCAAACACTACGCTTTAAAAAAGAGACCATTTTCGGTTTTCTTCAAAGTATTCGGACATAACTCCAATAAAAATACAATGAGAGGATTAGCGCGAGGTTTGGATGTCGCTCCCTGGTCGGAAAATCATGTTTTGACTCGTCTGCCGACAAAATCTCGTCAAAGCGTTCAAGAACAGCTGGGCCTGGACAGTCAGGAGACCAGGCGGCAGCAATAGATCTCAATTCGTCATCCTTTTTTCCCTTCCTGCTCGGCCTAGTGGAGCTCCAAAAAAATTGATGAAATTTCTCTCATCGGGTTCGATTTCAACTTTCTCAGTAAATTTACGCTCTGCTAAAAAAGTATATTACAATGAACTAAATTTCGTCGTGATATGTTGATAAGTAACGGAAATATCGTTCAGCAAGTTATAAATGCAGCAGTTGTGGTATCGATCTTAGTGTACCGTAGAATCATGTATTTTCATTAGTTTGACCACCATTCTGCTCAAAATTTCACCGCGAATCGAAAAATATACACTGTAAAAACAATTTCCGAATGATAGAAAAAATTGCATTTTTACTGTCTTTAAATTTTGAGGGTCAGATTTTGTTTGGCATATGAGACAATAGGGCTGCGATCCCGTAGCGAGCAGTCTCGGGCTCGAGGGTTGTTAGACAAAAGGACGGGAAAACCCATGTCATCGCACCGCTTCGACAGTTTTATGGAACCACGTATCTGGGGCGGCTTCCTTTTATTCAGACAGAGCAGTGCTGAGACTGAGTCCGAGTTTGACCTTCGGCGTTGGGCGAAGGCTGTGTAGTAGTAATATGGAGAGGGGTCTATTTGCATCTCTCAGCGGTTTACACAGATATGGCTGAAAAATTGGAAATTCTCATAGTTTTGCGAGCATCTAGGAGCTAGAAGCTTTCAATCGACCCAAAAATCGTAAAAATCGCCCCGGTAGATCTCTCAAAATAGGCGTTACAACAGGAACATAACCAATTCCCGGGAACTTAAGGCCGGAGGGGGGTGGATTTGGCTTTAAGAGCGTCTCAGGAAGAAGAGTCTGAAAAATTTGGAAGTCTGACAATTTTGCGAGCATCTAGAAGCTAGGAGCTTGCGGTCGACCCAAAAATCGTAAAAATCGCCCCGGTAGATCTCTCAAATTAGGCGTTACAACGGAAACATACCGCAACTCTCGGAAACTTAAGGTCGGAGGGGGGTGGATTTGGCTTTAAAAGCGTCTTAAGCGAAAGAGGCTGAAAAATTTGGAAGTCTGAAAATTTTGCGGACATCGGGACGTCAAGGGCTTTAACCAGAGTCAAGCATCGTCGAAATCGGTCCGGTAGAACTCCAGAAATAAGCGTTACAGTGAAACCCCCAACGATTTTATTTATATAGATATTGTATATTTAGGGGAAAACTAAAACCAACATTGATAAGAAGCTAAAATAGACGGACGAAAAGATTATAATCGGAAACGAAAGAAAATTAAGGAAAAATATAAATGGACAGATAGAAAAAAAGAAAATAAAGAAAAAATTAGACAGCATCGATAGTCTATTAGGCTCTTGCTAATTCCGCCATGTTAGTTTTGCCGAGATTTGTAAAACCACTTTTATCAAGAAAATATGAATTTTATTAACGCTGCGGCGACAAAAAAGGGCCGCGAAGCGGCTGCTTGATGGCGCGGAGCGCGTTCAGGGGGTTGGGCCGCATAGCGGCCAGGGTACGTAGCCCCCTAATAATTATTATCACGGGTCAACGCCTGACTTGAAGTTAAAAGTTTCGGGTTCAAATCCTGGGAGTGGCTATACATTCTCACGGAACTGACCGGTGAATCTGTAGAAACGGATACTACTAGGCCTTCAACTCTGAAAATTTGAAAAACCCGGAGCATGGATGTGCTTACAGTCTAAAGTTGATGAACAATAAATAGAAACAAGGGATGCGTGTGGATTCTTGACGTAGGATAAGCCAACTATCTATCATACAGCGAGTAAGAGGGGCAAATTGGGCAGAATAAACATCGTTAAATTTCGGATAGAACAGTGGTCACACAAGAAAAAAAAAAGAAGAAAAATCAAGTATTATTTGCTAAACAAACTGCTAAACGTATATTGTGTGTAATAATTTATCATTGAGAGAGAGAAAAAAAAAAAAAAAAAAAAAAAAACAGGCGGTAATCAACTGAACTTGTGAATGGAGCGTAAAAAATTCCGCGGGTGGAAGGGACAGGTTGTTGGTCCGGAATGGTCTTTAATTATTTCGCTGGACCAGTTTTGAGATCAAGTTCACAATTTAGGCATCAAATCATCTGCTTTAGTCGACACACTGTATCACCATGAATTGAACCTTGCGATACTGTCACTACTGTCTGGACCGACGCTAGTACTTGACGACTTGTCTGTCCTCCAGTGGCCAATGCCCTTCTCCGAGTAGCAGTAGGTTTCTTGCAGACTTTTGCGAGGAACCTTTCTTCAAATACCTTTAATTTCCAGCAGTTCCTACCGTAATTATGAATTTAATTTAGATACTTCTTTTCTTTTCAGATTAGGGCGCTGTTGCCTCTTTTTAAATCTATAAATCCTCAATAAGGTTTGTCATGTGCCCCCCCCCCAAAAAAAAGTAAATTCTTATTTGGAAAAGTATATTCTTATTTTAAACCACGACAAAGTAGTTGCGAGTTTCAAAGACGTCATAAATGTTTCAGATGACGTGGTGGACGGTTGGTTCTTGATGGGTAGTGTATGGCCAATCGCGGCGATCATCAGCGTATATTTGATTTTTGTTCTCAAAGTTGGTCCCAAATTCATGGAGAAAAGAAAGCCCCTCGAGATGAAAGGCATTATGTTAGCATACAACTTATTTCAAGTCTTTCAGAATGGTTGGCTCGTGTGGCTGGTAAGTACCCATTAAACACGATTAAATCCTTTTGAATCGAGACACGAGGAAAAGGCCCCAAGTCCAAAAAATCACGACCTTCGGCTTCCGTTGAAAGGTGGTAAAAAGTGTGGATCCAGTACTATTTTATCACGTTCTTACATACAGCTCGGATCAAATTTTTTAGTGTTTATTCATGTTTAAATACAGGGTGTTTGAAAAGCGCCCTCCCCTCTCTAACTTTTGACCTAATTGAGGTAGCAATTTGAAACTTGGAGGACGTTCCTAGGTCAAAGAGAGTTACTTTTTGACCCCCTAAAATTTTGGGGGGTTTTCCTTGGGGGGGGGGTACTAGACCCCGACATTTTTTTCAATAGGGAAGACCCCTTTTTTGATAACTCGTTCAAAAGAACATAAAAAAAGAAAACTTTTCGAGCAAACCCGAAGTCAATAACTCAAACCGATAAAAATGGCGACCGGTTTAAGTTCAAAATGGCCGAATATTGGAACCTAGGTTTTTGGTCCATGAATTTGCCTGAAAGTCGGTATCGGGGGATATTTTAATACGAAAAAAACGAATATGACGTTAGATTTTTTTTTTAAAAAAATCAAAGTTTTCAAAATGGGATGTGTATTATATGGGATGAAAAGTACTTTATCGGTATAGAAATAATCTTATTAAATGTGGAAGATCTAGTATAAATGATACACTGCGGCACGTAGGGGGAGGGGGTGGTCACTGAGTAAATTTGATAAAACTCTGTACATTGGTAACTCTGTAGACATCATAACCCTGATAAATTAGTATAAACTTAATAACGCTGGGAAGAAATGTTATAAAATGGTTTGACGCGGTTAAAAATAAGAAAGGGGAAATAAGTTTAATATCTTTGTCTTCGTAAAATACTCGGCAACCGTGTCCCTTTAGAAACGTACCATTTTACCGTGCGGGAAAATATTACATTAACGCCATTTTAGTTCGCCTTCAATTTCAAGGTAGGCAACTCGAGTTTCCACGTGGTTGAATAGTGGTACCGTCAAGTGGCACGCTCACTCTGGACACTCACAGGGATAAGATCTTTCAACGAAATAAAGATGTGAGAGCTATGGTGTCACTTAGTAATCCCTTTTTTTTATTTTATATGATAGTTACCTGCTCGCCGCCTGCACATTCCTTTCGTTCGCGATAATTTTTGATCAAATCGCTTTAGTTCATTCAAATTTTGCAATATTGTCCCTTTTGATCAAATAAAGATCAAATTCTAGGGATATAATCGTACTTACCGATTACCTTTACACGGCCATTAACTTAAGTGCCCTACTTACGTTGTTTTCCACTAAACAATTTTTTTTTTAAATTTCCAATTCTTGGTTTTCTGGGTAACCTTGGTTTTTATCAACTGATTTTTTTAATTTGATTATCAAACTCATCATTTCAACAGAGTCAACCTTTCTTTTTTCGCACAATTATGATCCATTGCCATTATTCACTTTTTAAATTCCATCTTTCATCGTCCTTCTTTACCTACTTGCATTTTCCACCTGGCCAAATCATCTGATTCTTTATTGTCTTTGTTTTTTTTTTATATATTAAGATTATGATATTTATCTCAGCACACATTTTTAGGTTAAAAGTTAGGTTACATTTTTTTGTTTACAGTATTCAATCCTCCACCTCCACCCTCTCATATTTCTAGCTATTTTTTAGTTTATTTTTCCAAGGGATGCCAGGATGCCTGTCTCCCCCACCACTATGTTTTTCTGAGGGTATGGAGGACCCCTTACTTAAGAGGTGGTGCCGTGCTTCTCCGCCGAAAAATTGCATTCTTAAACATTTGAAATCCTATTTTTCCGCATTTTAAGTTCCCATTTTTACGTATCATTGTTACCATTCTCTTTCATGTGTTACCTTACTTCTCCCCCTTCTACTCATATTGCCATCTATTTTTTTTATTATATATTTATGATTTTACATTATTACTTTTACCTTTTCACAAGAGGATTTAACTTGATCTATCTTGATAATATCGCAATAAGGCTCATGAAATTAGGTATTTCTGAATAAATCGAGATAAACCATCCTAAAACTGGCATAGTCATGGTAATTTAATATTTTCAGTGTTTTTCTCACCCTCCTTACATGATTGAGTCCGGTTCTAATGCAGCCCCCCCCCCCCCCAAAAATTTTCAAAAATAAGTTGGTTCGTTTTGAATTTTAGTTGTATTTTTGTACTAATATCTGTAATTGCGACATTGGGTGTTTTAACAACGCACCTGTTTAGGATTTACTTATTTATTTATTATTATGGGGGGGGGGGGGTGGCGGATCCGGATGAAATGGGATGCAACTCGGAACATCGGGATGTAATTGAATACATGCATAACGACCGGGATAAAATGGTATAAACTGAAGAACGTGGGAGAAATGGTGTTAAGAGGGAGAAAATAAGTAAGGGGATCTCAGTGGAATAGCGGTATCATCGTATCCCTGTAGCTCGGGACACATTTAAAAATAGCGTTTTACCAAAAAGGAAAAGGAGTAATGATAATGTATTGGACTGCACTAACAAAAGGAGAAAGTATTGACGTTTCCAAGACGGTGCTGCGTTTCTAAAGTTTGATGAAAGATTCAGCGTAATACCTAATGATAAAATGGATTATCTATTTTTATCAAAGTTTTTTATTTTTATTTTTTTTATTTTTTTTTAATAAAATGAAGGAATTAGAAACAAATTATTCGTCCGTGGCGTCTTCATCAAGAGGACCAAATCACAGAAACTTTAAATTAAGTGTCTACTGTTTATTTAGCAGTTTTAATTATTGTTTGTCTTTTTTCCTACTCAAGTTCATTGTTCCAACGCGATCTGCCTGGGCAATCCCGAAGTCTGCGTCCATTTCGAGATTGACCCAAAATTTTGTGGACCTCAGGGTGTTGACAAAAAATCTGCTGAGACTTGATATAGAGGTAGACTAAGAATAGGTACCCACTATTATAATTGGTTTACTAACAGGGCAGGACCACCTCAGGAGGCAACTGTGGAATAAAGGCGTCTGGAAGACTATACTGGTTTGCAGGCTTTGTGAAGTTAAGGTAGAAACAGACACTCTCATAATATTTGCGTGTAATGCGCTGGAAAGTAAAAGACATGAAATACTGAGCATGACTAACTGGAATGGTTTCTTTCCGCTCGAGGAACCTTCTAACTCCGTGTCACACCTTCTTAGGGAGACAGCGTTTGTACAGTGTTGTAACCCGAGGATACGATTGTCCAGAATTAGCTTAACTCCTTAGAGTTTCTGTGATTTGGACTTGGTCCTCCAGGTGTTATATCTACCCTACAAAATTAACCATCTACCCTAGCATTTGGGAAATTCCTGTTTTGACCATTAAACCTGCATAATTCCTGTAAAATTAAATAAAAAATTTTAATACTTTTTCGTCTAATCCGAATTTCTAGCTGTTCTCATACCCAGGGAGTATGACTTACACGGCAAAGCACATTTGCACGCCTCTTGGGAGAAACAACAATCCATTCTTTATACCCGTGAGTATATCTTCTTTCCGTGCCTTTTTTTTTTTTACATACTTACATATTGATGATGAAACTCCTAAACCACGTACTCATTTTGATGTGCAACGTTGCACACTATACCTGTCATACTTCATTTTTTAAATAGACGACTAGTCAACATCAATTCTTAAAACCTCTCGTGATTTTCTTCCCTGTGTGAAGAAAAATCCGAGAAAATTTAAAGGAGTGATGTTCATTTGTTCTCATTTAAACAAAATAAAACAGGAACGGAGATTTTCAAACATCACAAACGAGATGCAGTTTGGGAATTTTTCCGTCGATATCTGACACAAGGATGAAATTCAAATCTTCCTTCGCACACAGTTGAAAATTTCCGTGCGTTGTGTTATTCTGTGTTACTTTGTCTTTTTTTTTTTATTCAAATCAACTTAAAGGACTCCGTGGCTCAACACAATTTTCTATTAAATCGACCCGAACCGTAGGTTACTCTGAGATATTGGGGCATGAAGATAGTCCTGCGGATTTATGTGCTCTTGTTTTCCTTCCAACATTCAAAGGTTGTAATTTGCGAGAGAGTAGCCCATTGGGTTACCATACCGAGCCGATTCAGGTTCAATCTTGGTGGCTGCCGCGTGATTTTGACCGGGTTAAACAGAAAGAAACCAAGCAACATCAGCTATTGCCAAATTTAATTGGGCGATTGTATCTTTTACATGAATTTGGCTCTGTGGATTTGTTTGCAAATTTCAGTGAATTTTCTGCATATTACGAAGCGAATTCCTCAAAAATTTCAAAGCAATCCGCACAAACGTTCGTTTGTAAAAAATTAAATTGCCTGGTTAAATTTGGCAATAGCTGATGTGGCTTGGTTCCTTTTTGCTTAACGCGGTCCATTTTTAACAAGGTGGCAGATTTACATCACAAAGAATCGGCCATTTAGACCCAAAGATTTGATCAATGACACGGGGAAAACTATTTCAAAAAAAGTAAAAATCAACCATCAGCATATATTACTCCACGTTTTACTTCCCATAGGTAGGTATTAACACAGAGTTTTGGTGCCTTTTTCTTACTGTGTAGAACTCCTCAAGAAAAGAAGAGAATACTAGAGTAGTATTTCATGATTTGGATTAAAAGATCATATGTAGACCGTTCTCTTTATGATCCAGTTGGATTATTCATGATTCAGTAATCAAGTATTTTTTTTATTTTTTTCAGATTTGCGCCGGTTCATGGCATTTTTTCATGTCAAAAGTTTATGATCTTTTAGATACGGTAAGATACCTTTCTTCCGCAGGCGTAACCCATTCTGACATATGTGTACATCTCACAAGGCTAATGAATAGAAATACAAATTGGCGCGTACCTATACGTAGTATACTAGTCCAGTAAACGAAGGCATATAGGGCCCGTTTCCGGACAAAAATTAGCGTACGGCTGGATTTAGGCCCAATCAATTCTACGTATAAAAAGGTGTTTTTAGCCAAAAGTCCCCATAAATCCCTTGGGGGATGCCGCACAGTGGTCCGATGAAGTTGAACACTGGACATATTTTCAAAAATGTACTGCGGAGCGAGAAATAAACTTGGAGAGGTCAATTTTTTTGAAGCTGTAGGTAATCAAGTCTAATTTTTGAATAAGCTATAGTTTTGAATGTCAAAGTAAGTAATTTAAATGTGAGTTAAGTTGAAAGAAATTGAAAATGGAGAATAATTGACCGGCTTTCTCTGTATGTACCTACGTCCATATGAAGGCCCGGATCGAAAAGTACCCTTCAGTAAAAGTTTTAGATCGTTCATTAGCGTTGATTTGGTATAATGGTATAGGTTTATCTTTAAAATTGAGGGAGCAAAACGGCAAAAACGGAGCGGGTTGACGCGTGGCCGCTTATGTTTTGAATCGTAAACTGGCGATTTTAGGTGGCGGATGATGGCAGTGATGGTTATTCACCTCTGCTTGTCTACTCACGACCAAAATTAATCATTTTCATCATAAAGGCTCTTTTCTAAATCGCCATGGTTGCCAGTTTTCACTTCATTTTTGAACTGTTCACTAATTAGTTCTGGTGGCCATTCAAGTAATACTTAAGGCTTTTTTGACGACTTTTTTAAACTTCCACCCCTTTTAAAGCAACACCCTAGAGAAAATATTACCTTGCGCGCGGTGAGCTCACCATCACCTTGCGGCAAGGTATCGGCCTTGCCACCCTCTCCGAGCCCTATCCGAGGCCTCGCCGGGTCAGTTCGTGGAACTTAACGACTGGGAATAATTATGCATGGCAAAGTTGGAGACGAAAAGCATACCCAACACGGGGTATTTCCCGATGCTGTGTCGCCTTTTTCGCGCCCTGCGTCTGGATTTGGGTCTACAGTGTTGTCATACGGTTTTATTCCCGGTCGTCGAGTTCCATGAACTAGCTCGGTGAGAGCTCGGATAGGGCTCGGAGAGGGCGGCAAGGCCGATACCTTTCCGCAAGGTGATGGTTAGCTCACCGCAAGGTAATATTTACACTAGGGCAGTGCAACTACTTTTGAATCCCTTTTTGAATCAAGTAACTGCCCTGATCTCCCCCCCCCCAATTTTCCAGAAAGTGATAGAGACAGTGTGAAAACTGGCTGACTTTTTTTTTCTATCCAAAGTTATTACGTAAGACTTGACTCGACTCCCTTCTCCCTCCGTAAGACCGCCCCGTGAGCCGAACAAAAGACCTTCTTAAGAAACTTACGTAATTCTTGAACGGTTTCCTATAGTCCGTCCCAAGAAGTATAGATAGTAGGTACCTATACCGTGAAAAATAAAATTTACCAAAACTTTTAATAGTTCGTTTAGGTAGTGTTGGTTCAGTGTACCATATACCTGCTCTGATGGCTCGGACGGCCGGTCCCCTTGAATTTATCTCTGATATTTTTGGAGAACAGAAATAAAACATGCACACCGGTAGAAATATCAAATTCTGAGCTCTGTATTGATATAATAATTTTTTTAATTTTGAGCAACTCAATGCCGCGCCGGTGAATAGGAATTTTTTGAAACCATGTTAAAAAACGAAGAAATACGGGCGGCTACAGTCACAGTCAATATCTCGCCGCCTAAATGCACCAAAATAAAAAAAAACCAACATGTCGTTAGAAAGGTGAAATCGTCAGCTTTCGAACGCTATATACCTTGGTTTTTTCGTAGCGGGAAAAATGTTGAGTAGAAACTATGAACAACAGTTCAACCAAACAGTTAGAAACTATGAATTTCCGTAGGAGATGAAACCTTCTATTATGGCTGCTCTTTTTTTGCGGGGGGGGGGGGGCATCTCTTATTTTTTCCCTCGTTATTTTGGGGGGAATTTTGGTCACTCTAAACACAACATAAGAGTCCTGTGTCTCACATGACACATTATGAATCACGTCTATCTCAGTAAAAAGTGATGGTTAGCAAAGGCCATTTATCATGACTTGCTTAATTACCTAATGTAGTTCTCGCGTTTTTTGCTAAACAAATGCGTTATAATCAGTGCGAGGTCAATAGAAAATAGGGAACTAGAGTCTATAAAAATATATGAAATGGCTGCTCATCGAATTTTTCTTAATTTTTTTTCCGGTATTTTTGCTTTTTCAATACTGTATGAGGGAAAAAAATTGAAGTAGATGGCGATTAAGTCTAATTTGTTCATAGCAAACCGATTAGGAAACAATATTATGTTCAAGTTTATTTACGCATACGACTGCTAATTTTTTATGTTCATGATTCCTTGCAGGTATTTTTCGTCCTCAGAAAAAAACAATCTCATGTTACTTTTCTCCATGTCTACCATCATGCTAACATGGTTCTCGCAAGTTGGGCGTACCTGAAATACATGAAAGGTAAGCTATATGAAGAACAAAAATACACCTATCATACATTCGCAAGGGTCCTGCGCAAATTGGTTATACTTCACTCCTGCTCTTCAAATGTTTTTTCTGAAAGGACTGCTTCTAGTGAAAGCTGCTCAACTCTGAAAAGAACCGACATTACGGTTACAGAGTTTTTACCCCAATTTCCTCGAATATTTTGTCCATGGTTTTTCGCCCTCTAAATCTCGTCCCAGTGAAATTCGTCCTTGTGCATAGTTAGTCACACGCTATCGCCCGTTCATCGTTTTTACGTCACATATTCGCTTGTTGTTCAGTAAAATCATATGTCCACTGAAATACGACCAACGATCCATTCATCAAGAGATGGAGATTCAGAGTGATGGCACCTGATGCATGTACATGACAAATCAAGCAATGCGGCAAACATTGTCAGAAATTACAATCATTACAACAACCGTAGTTAGGAAGTACCCCCGAGCCAATGTTTACCACCCTAAGCTGCATACGCCACGTTCAGATTCAACACACTCAGACGAAGAAGACAAAGACGAAGACGAAGACGGAGGGTTGAGCTGGGGGCTAAGAGGACAAGGCGCAAAAGTGCAGTTTTCGAAAAAATTAAGGTATTAGTGATTTCCTCTAAACCAAGGTTTGAAATAAACTCAGTGAAAAATTCATCGGTAAAATCCATGTTTAAGCATCAAAATGTGAGTTTGCACGTTTTTCCTGCCATATTGCTTCATATAATTTAGAAACTTTGAGCGTGTTTTTCTCGGATTAGCAAAATCTGCACTTACGCGGCTTGTCCTCCGAGCTCCTCAAAGGTTCTCATGCATTTTATATGTATGTTTCTCTCTTTCGACTTGGTTTTGAACCTAAATTTTGGACTTAGGTTTTCGCCCTTAGTGGACAACAAAAATGCGGCCTAAAAACGCTGGACAAACGAGAGCGTAGGAATAAGTATTTAGTTGAACGAATTTTACTTGGAAAATATATTGAGTGCGAAAATCCGTGGACAAAATAAATTGGACGAGAAATTTTATGGACGTAAAAAAATGGACCAAAAGTCCGATAACCCGTTTAGATAACAAAACAACTTAAATTCAGCCGAAAATTTTTGGTAAATAGAAACAGTCCAAACCGTGCTCAAATTTTGCAAGGTTTGAGATCGAGAGAGGGAAAACTCCATGACTGTGCCCGTGAGTGCTTTTATCTAAAAAGAAAAAAACAAGAATCAATAAATGATGCATGTGGTCCTAAAAACGACTTTTTTTTGCAATAGAACGGTAGAACAAATTTTCATTTTTCTGAGGTACGTATGTGGACGACAAATTGAAATTGAGGAAATTCTTGTCTCTGGCCTTTTAATAGCATACCGACGACGGTGAAAGTCGGCAATCACATAACTCGTTTGCGGTGTCTGAAAATCTCCGCCTGTACGTCATTTTTTTAAAGGAGAGCTAAATTGACATTATTTCTTGAAGTTTTTGCAGAATTTTCTTCGAATTAAGAAGAAAAATCATGACAGTTTTAAGGAATTGCCGTTGAGTAGTTTTCCATTTAAAAAATATAGTATGACAGGAAGTCTGCGACGTCGCAAACCGAGTTATGTGATTGCCGACTTTCACCGTCGATATTCATATGTCCTACTCTATTTTTTGGTCTTTATATGAGAAAACACTTTTTTCAAAAAAGTGACATCAAAAATTGCTCAATATTAATTTTTTTTTTTTTTTTTTAATTTCGTTCTCTTTGAATGGTGTCAAACTCAAGACCACCCCGTACCCCGAAACTATATCGACGGTGAAACTACCAAACCACGTATCTCGGTTTGCGACGTCGCAGACTTCCTGTCATACTTTATTTTTTAAATGAAAAACTACTTAACGTCCAGTCTTGAATATTTCTGTGATTTTTCCTCTTCGTGCGGAGAAAATTCTGTGAAAATTTCAAGGAATGATATTGATTTGGTCTACTTCAAAAAAATAAAATGTGAGCGTAGATTTTTAAACACCGCAAACGAGATACGTGGTTTGGTAGTTTCACCGTCGATATGGTCCCTAGCTTGCACTGTGTTACAACTCAAAAAATAAAACGTTATTGAAGCCTTTACACATCAATAAATATTTAAAAACGTTTCTCCATTGTAGTAGGGCGGATAAGCATAACAATCGTGCATCTCTGGAAGAAAGCATGAAACTTTCAGGATATCATTTTTACCTGTAGAAGGTTCAATTTCGCAAGTGAGCCCAAAATTCTGAGGCCATGGGGGCCGGGGGGGCAGGGGGCCCTGATTTCGCTATGTTTTGCCGAATTTTCGCGTTGAATCATTGTTAGAACGCCGTTAACAATGTAAAATGTAATCAAAACTTGAGTAAACATCATTAGTAGGTTCTCTCAAACAGTATCCTAAAATGTTATCACCGTCCGATCCCGGAGCACCCCTCAAAATGCCTAAAATTCAAAATGGCGCCCATAATAAGGCCTCCGGAATATCGGTATTTTCACTTGTGCATATCCTGTCATGTGAGGTATCATTTACCATGTAATTTTGGTCGCAGATTTCATATTTGAAGTCAAAACAACCCTCCGGTCAAAATTGGTGCCCCCAATCCAAGATGGCGGCCAAATTTTAAAGGCAGGAGGGTGCATTTTTTAAACTTTTACGCGATAAGGCAAGTGATATGTCATTTCCTATGTAATTTTGGTCGTAGATTTCATTACTGAAGTCAAAACAACCCCCCGGTCAAAATTGGTGCCCCCAATCCAAGATGGCGGCCAAATTACAAAGGCAGGAGGGTGCATTTTTTCAAATTTGTACGAGGTAAGGCAAGTGATATGTCATTTCCTATGTAATTTTGGTCGAAGATTTCATTATTGAAGTTAAACAAGTCCTCCGATCAAAATTGGTGCCCCAAATCCAAGATGGTGGCCAAATTTGAAAGGCAGGAGTGTGAATTTCTATGAGAAAAAAAATCACGTGAGATGACAAGTGAAGTATCAATTTATACGCATTTTTAGTCTACAAAACAAATCTAAACGAAATGTAAAAAAAAATCTTTTACACCAAAATGAAAAGAGATAATCAAGATGTTTGCCATCATGGCTTACATGTGAAAAGTGATGAGCCACTAATAGTGAGGAGTCTTACTGATTACTGCACAAAAACTCTCAACTCAATTTCAGATGCCCTAGACTTAGAGGACGAACAATTAATAAGTACCGAAAATAATATAGAAAACTTTCAGTCGGTTTCAGATGGTGGGTCTCTACTCCATCGAGTGCGATCAAAGCATAGGTACTTACGAATCCATTGCACAAACCTATGTTCCATCAAATTGATGAGCAGACACAAATGTTTCTTTGCGTTTTCGAAATGATGTTAAACGCGCAAAATCCGAGATGATCGGTGTTCTTGCATGCGTTAACGGGTTAGGATTCAACCCCTCACATCCATGAAATAGAAACAGCAACTTTATTCTGTACGCTTTTATCTGATCCTTACCGGCAAGAAATTAAAGAAAGGTTCTTGGAACCTATAATCAAAACCATGAACGGATATGAAGAGCTGGAAAAGAGTAAATCGATGGTGAAACTGCTTAAATACGTATTTAGGTTTGCGGTGTTGCAGATTTCTTGTCATACTTACTTCAGTTCCTTCATCAAAAAATATTGAACGTCATTTCTTGAAAACTTCGCTTGTTTTTACTCTCTATGTGAGGAATATTCTGTAAAAATTTCAAGCCATGATGTCGGTTTGGTCCCCTTTCAAAAAATGAAATAGGAGCGAATATTTTGAAATCCCGCAATCAAGATACGCACTTTTGCTGTTTCACCGTCGAAATATTACTCCTCTACGGTAGCCAAAAAAATGTGACTTTCGACGACCTTCGTCATCACATATCGAAGGAAAAAGTTCCAGCTTTCAAATTCTTCATTCAATTAGAGAAATTACCCTCGACATCATCAGCAATGAAGTAGAAGTAGGTAACATTAATTTAGGAGCTACTTTTATACTCAACTGTGGATGGGATGAAGTGATCTGGATGCTTGTCTTTGGTGATGGATGAATAAAAACAAGGAGCTTCATCCTATTTTAAGTGACATGCCACCAGCTCCCGGAATCCCCGCTTAAAATTATCCGGTGTAATTGTAAGAAAGGGAGTGACACCATGCTGTACTTCCAAGAAAATAATCTTTCCGTTCTTAGACTCATGCAGAAGTTCTGAAGACTCCAACTGTAAAAACCTAAAGAACTGTAGGAGGAAGATCCTGAAGAGCCTGACTGGGAATGTGAATCAGCATGTGTTGATTAAGATTTTCCCCTACACTGACTGGAGAGGGTACGACAGGTGCGTTGCGTGAAACGTTATCTTTATTGAGATATTATATGGGCTTAAAAATGAATAAAACAACTCATTATGTATATGCTCCTGTTAACAGCATTTCTAACGAGGACGGCCAAACTGATCACTCTCTTAATTATCTCGTCTCATTTTTGTGTAAAAGATTTTTTTTTACATTTCGTTTAGATTTGTTTTGTAGACTAAAAATGCGTATAAATTGATACTTCACTTGTCATCTCACGTGATTTTTTTTCTCATAGAAATTCACACTCCTGCCTTTCAAATTTGGCCACCATCTTGGATTTGGGGCACCAATTTTGATCGGAGGACTTGTTTAACTTCAATAATGAAATCTTCGACCAAAATTACATAGGAAATGACATATCACTTGCCTTACCTCGTACAAATTTGAAAAAATGCACCCTCCTGCCTTTGTAATTTGGCCGCCATCTTGGATTGGGGGCACCAATTTTGACCGGGGGGTTGTTTTGACTTCAGTAATGAAATCTACGACCAAAATTACATAGGAAATGACATATCACTTGCCTTATCGCGTAAAAGTTTAAAAAATGCACCCTCCTGCCTTTAAAATTTGGCCGCCATCTTGGATTGGGGGCACCAATTTTGACCGGAGGGTTGTTTTGACTTCAAATATGAAATCTG